GTGTGTGTGTGTGTGTGTGTGTGTGTGTGTGTGTGTGTGTGTGTGTGTCTGGGAGAAGGAAAAAGGGGTTTCAGTCTAGGCTTGCTTATGTACTCAAATGTACTCACGCACTTCCAGATAGTAGTAATGGTCCAGTTGTGACTGGAGACAGTGACATTGTGGTGACAGATAGGATGGAGGTCTGAGGGACCGTGTATCATCTGTGTTCTTCTTGTGGATGTTGCTGTAGCTCAGATAACCGCGTTTGAATGGAGCAGAGCAGGGGTTTCCAGACAGCAAGGGAGAATGGTCTGGGGGCATGCCAGCTAGCATCAAGGAATGTGTGTGCAGTGCAGTAATGGCTTGGGCTTTTGGGAAATGGGAGTTTCCTTTTGCTTGGCTCTCCCTGGGACATGGTGGAGAGTCCATGTCTGCCTGGGAGGAGATGACTGTGGTGCTGAAGCTGAGCTGAGCAGTCAGATCTCTGTGGTGGTTCAGCACTGAAGAGAGCTATGGCTGGAAGGCACCCTAGCATCGAGGATGCTCAGGGCACACTTGGGAAGCACATACATTTTAGAATGAGAGCTGTTCAGAGGGCTCTCCTCCATCCCTCCAGCCATAGAGGTCTTAAGACAGTCAGAAAAGCTCTCTGTTACTCCCTGGACCAGCTGTTGTCTGAAAGAAACTTAAACAAGCATTCCAACATGTTGCTTGGTGACTTTCCTTTGAATTTTACTTGATGGTGCTTCTAGGTGAAGGTGGGGCCAGCTTCGTTTTAGCAAAATTAAATTACAGCCCCTAGAAAAGCTTATATTTAGTTTAAAGAAAGGTTAGGATTTTTTTTAATGTGCATGAGCATTTTTTTTTAATGTGCACGGTGCATGTAAGTCTGTGCACCATATGTGTGCCTGGTGCCAGGGAGATTAGAAGAGGGCACCAGATTCCCTGTACCCGGAGTGACTGGATGGCTGTGAGCCAGGTTGGTGCTGGCAACTGAACGCATTTTCTCTGCAAGAGCAACAAGTGCTCTTAAGCACTGAGCCATCTCTCCAGCTTATTAAAATTTTACTAACAGGTAGTTATTTAAAGGCCTTAGGATAAAAGAAATTGGTTCTTTTTGAAGGGTACTTTAGAGTTATTTGAGCAAGTGTGAAATTTGAAAGAGTGAATAATATCATCGTCTGTTACTTCATTCTAACCGTTGTACTTTCTTGTGCAGGCGTGCAAAGTTGAAGATTTGGGCAAAGTGGACTTTGAAGATGAAATTAAAAAAAGATTTAAAATGGTGTATGTTCCAAATTGGTTCTCAGTGGACCTCAAAACAGGGGTGAGTTAGCCATCAGTATTTATGTGATTTTGGGTAATTGAAGATCCCCAGCATACCCTAATTATTCTAACGCAGTCGCTGTTTTGGGGTTTGTGCAGTTGCTTTTTTCTGTCCTAATAAGCTGTCATTTAAGCCTTGGGTGCCTGAGCGGAGTGAGCTGTAGCCTCGCTGAATCCCGTGAGGCTAGGCTTGTTGTCTTAGTCTAGTGAGCAGGTCCGGGCGCTGGAGAGGGGAGGGAGAGCCATTGACACTGTTGCCTCCACAGATGCTGACGATTACTCTGGATGAAAGTGACTGCTTCGCTGCCTGGGTTTCTGCAAAAGATGCTGGCTTCAGCAGTCCTGATGGGTCTGACCCAAAATGTGAGTTAAGTGTCTTCTGTTGAGGAAGGTGGCTGGTTGTTTTGTAAGCGCCCCTCACATCATGACACTGTCTTGTTTGTTTTCAAAGCAGGGTTTTACTGTGTAACTATGCTATCCTGGAACTTACTCTGTAGACCAGGCTGGCCTTGAACTGAAAGATCCACATGCCTCTGCCTCTGAGTGCTGAGATTAAAGACATGAGCCGCCGCCCAGCATATCATGACTCTTACTATGTCTTCACTCAGCATTTTGAGAATTTGGTGTGTGGAGATCAACAGGTGTACAGAGGAAAGGTTGCTGGCTTTAAGGGAGCATCTCTGTAAATGACATCACGTTTTGTTTTAAAAGAATAGCTAAGCCAGGCATAGTGGCTCATGCCTATAATACCATCACTTAGAGGAGGCTGAGGCAGAAGAATTGCCAGGAGTTCCAGGGCAGCCTTCGCTACCTTGTCTAAACAAAAAGGAAAGAAAAGAATGACAGCTGAAAAGTAATGTAGCATTTTCTCTGCATCATCCTTTCCGGTTCTGAGTTCAGGTGCTGAGACCTGCCTGTCTCAGGTCTTGGGTTGGGAGCTTAAGAATGTGTCTTTAGTTAGGGTTCCATTACTGTGAAGACACACTGTGACCACAGCAACTGTTAAACAGAGAACATTTAACTGAGTCTGGCTGACAGTTGCAGAGGTTTAGTCCGTTATTATGGCGGGAAGCAGAGCAGTGTGCAGGTAGACACGGTGCTGGAGGAGCCAAGCGTTCTGTGTCTTGATCTGTAGGCAGCAAGGAGACCTCAGAGCCCACCCGGACAGTGACTAGACATGTCCACGTCCTCCAAGAAGGCCACACCTCCTAATAGCGCCACTCCCCACGGGCTAAGTAAGAGTCTGGGGCCATTTTACTCAAACCACCACAGCATGTGTACTCCAGCATGGTAGCACCTGCCTGTCATCCCTGTACTTGAAGGAAGAAAGCAAGGCGTCAACAAAGAAAAGAAAAAAGAATTTCTTATCAGTTTGAACAGTGCCAAATCAAAAACCAGCAGTCCTGTGTGTATACTGGGTGCAAAAGGCACTCACACGCAGTGCCCTCCTGAGAGCTTTCCTCTGCCTTCAGTGGCCACAGTGTCCCTGTTCTTAGCCTGCCTCTGTCCTGCAGTTTTGCTTCTCAAGAAAACGGGTGCACCTCAGAACGCTGACAGCTTCCTGTCTTAGGTTAGCGCTAACCACCTCCTGTTTCTGCTGGTCCCCACAGTGAACTTAGGAGGGCTTCTGCTACAGGCTCTCCTGGAGTACTGGCCAAGGACGCATGTGACGCCCATGGACGAGGAAGAGAACGAAGTAAACCATGGTCAGTGTGTTATGTTTGGAAAAGTGGGAGTGACAGGGCCAGAGCTACCTAATGCTTCTGTGCTGCGCCCAGTCAGACTGTTTTCCTTCTGATCTGAGTGAGGGTAACAGTGAACTGAGACAGCGGGCAGGTGAGACCACTGTGAGGTGTGGCTCTCACAGGAAAGAGATGCCCGTGGTTGACGTTTAGATCAGGAGCATAACTAGCTACTTCTGCACGGGGCATTTAAGACACCCGTTTATAAATGCTGTCTCTCTCTCTCTCTCTTCTTCCCTCCCTCCCTGTTTTTTGAGACAAATCTTACAGTCCAGGCTGGCTTATGGTTACCTCTATCTCCCAAGTGCTAGGGTGGCAGATGGTGCCATTGTGCTTGGTTTCAGAGAGCTGGGGACTGGCAGGGGCTGTACATACAGGTCAGGCACGGGGTCAGCTACATTCATCTCTTGTATTAAAGCTCTCTGACAGGGGCTGTGTTTCACAATGGGTAGATTCTCTGGTCTTTATGTATAAAATACCGTGTCCTTATTTTCAGGAATTTAACCTTTGCTTGTTTTATACCTTTATTACTTTTTTCAATATTTAAGAAAAAATGTTTGTGTGTGCATCAGCTCCCATGGGGCTGGAGTAAGAAGCAGCATGAGCACGCTAGGGCTGAACTCGGCCCTCAGAGAGCAGCCAGCCCTCCAGCGCCTCTACCTTCCTCCTAGCTCTGACTGCGGAGCAGAGCTTCAGTTTAAGTGGTTTTTTTGAGATTTTTCTTTTTGATGTGTCTCAGTGTTTCCCTGCGTGTGCATGGACAACACTTGTGTGCCTAGTGCCCCTGGAGGCCAGAAGGGGTGTTCGATCCTCTAGAACCGGCAGTACTGATTGTTGTGAGTATAGGGACTCTGTAGGGGCTGGTACCCACATTTGGGTCCTCTAAAACAGCCACCAGTGTTAGTGAGCCGTCACTTCAGCCCCAGGGGTTCTCTTTCTAAATGTTGGCATGTTTACATAGTGATGAGTGTTCACAGTTGTGGTCTCGGTGCTAACAGCCTGCCTGTCTCTCCTAGTGAGCGGAGAACAGGAGAGCCGAGTCCAGAAGGGAAATGGGTATTTCCAAGTGCCCCCACACACCCCTGTGATCTTTGGTGAAGCTGGAGGTCGCACGCTCTTCAGGTATGGATGAGAAAGACCAGAGGCCCTGCCTGAGAAAAGTCTTGCTTGACAGACCAACCCTAGGCAGTGCTGCCCAGACAGACATGAACAGTTGTCACTAACTTCTAAGAGTTATCTCCTTGAGATAGTTAACACCTGGTGCAGTTAGTGTTAAGAGAGAGGGCCAAGGCCATAGTGTTAAGAGAAAAGTTCAGCCCATATTCCCCCTTAGATGCCTGCCTCCAGGCCGAGTCACTGGGGGTGTTTTCTTTCACTTTGCCAGTGTGGCTAATTGTCATCTGCAGAGATCAGATAACAGGCAGCCCCTGCCCTCGGGAGACTGGGTCAGGCAGGAGGGGTGAGGCTGGTCCTGCAAACGGTTGTGACCTGCACTGGCTCAACCTGGGGTGGTGGGAAGCCCAGAAAGGGAAGGCTGGTGTGGCTCCCCCAACTCCCCACACTGCTGTGGTGCAGCAAGACAAGCATCCTCAGTGTCCGTAGTTGTCAGAGTGAGGGTGAGGCTTCCAGTGCCCTGGAGTGCAGACTTCTTTCGTGATGGCTCCTGAGCCGAGTAACCAAACTGTAGCCTCACAGCAGACGAAGTCTGTGCTGTGCACCGTAGCGCCAGCTGGCCCTCTGCTGAGTGCTTCCTGTGGCACGCAGGACACCCTGCTGCCCTGTCACCCTGCCTTCCTCTGAGCGCTGCGAGGGCTCCTGTGATGTCCCCTTGCGTGTCTCTGACTACTTGCTGGATTGTGTCTAGGCTGCTCTGCCGAGATTCCGGGGGCGAGACTGAGGCGATGCTTCTCAATGAGACAGTGCCGCAATGGGTAATTGACATCACTGTGGATGTAAGTGTCCTCCGTCCCCCTTGCCTTCGTACTCCTCCCACACAGTGACGCTAAGACCTCCTTTAGACAAAAGTCGCCTGCCAAGTGGAATGCCCTCCGCCCTCCTGATGTTCCAGAGTTGCAGATGCATCTGATAATTGTTTACGTATCTTTATCTTTGTCAGGTTTCAGTCATAATAATAACATACGTTTATTCTATAAGATAATCAGTGTCTGAAGTGAAGTGCCCACCTCTTCCATCCATCCTCCTCACCCTTGCACCCCGCCCTCCTCGCAGAGGGAGCACCTGCTAGGAGGTTGACGCGGCCTCTGCCACTCTCCACACACACGAGCATGTATTATTTGTGTGCATACGTAAGTTTATAGTTCATTTGGTCTTGCACGAAATCTCTTTCAGTGTTCTGAAACTGTTTTTTTTTTTTACTTAAAAATATGTCGCGGACATGTGTTCGTGCCTGTACTTACAGACTACTCCCTTTCAACGACTGCACCCATTCACTTGTGTAAACTTAGCGCCCTTTGTTTGCTCAGCCCCTTAGTAATTGGCTCGGGTGCTTCCAGTGTTTTCTGTTGCAAACCGTGCTGCAGTGAATGTCCTTGCACATGTATCTTTGTGTACTTTTTAGGATAAATTCCTAGAAGTGGAATTGCTGGCTCATATACTGAGCCAACAGTATATGAGTACCTGATTCCCATAGCCATCACGTGGACGCTTCACCTTTGCTGTATGATAGCCAGATAGTGTCTGCCGATTGCAGTGTGGAATTTTTCTTTATTCATGGCGAGGTTAAGAGCCTTTTCGTACTGGCTATCCGTGTCTTTCCTGTGAGCTGCTGTTCCACTAACTAGGTCATTGGTGCAGGTGACTCCATTTCGTATTAACCTGACTGCTCCATGCCTCATTAAACTTTCACTTTGGTCAAGGTTCTTTCCCAGGTGAAAACTTAATTTGTGTATAATCAAATTGATTTCTTTTTTTATGGCTCTGAGTTTTCTGTGTTTTGTTAGGTATACCCCAATTTAAAATAGGGGGTGGGTGGTCCTTTATTTAAGGTCTTCCTGCTTTATCATTTTCTTGTCTGGTCCTTTAATCTGTTTATTCTTCTGTCTGCTGTGAGGTGAGATTCTAACTTTTCCCAAAAACATAAGCCATGTGCAGTGCGGTCTGTGGGGTCTGACCCATCTCTACTAATCTCACCTGCTACACTGTCTCTTTGTATACTAATTTCTGTAGACACTTGCTTAGTCTGCTTCTAGACTTCTTATTCTTGACTATTTTGTATATTCCTAAAGCCATATGAAAAGGGATTTAATCTCTTGAAATTTTAGAAAATGTGTTTTCTAACCCAGATACACCCCCAAGAACGTAGAGCCAGTGTGACACCTGGTGGGTATTCTGTGCCCTTCGCTGTCCAAGCTCCTGTAAGCCACTGCTTCCTTCCTTCGAGTGTAGAACTCGCCTGGATGCATTACCAACCCTATGGCATGGCTTATCCCCTGCGAATGGCTAGCCGTCTGCCATCATTTGAGAATGGGGATTTTTTTTTTTTTTCATGGCATCTCCCTCTATCAGGAGAGATGGTAGGAGGGTCTCTGGCCTCTCCACTGGGCCATGGGTCCAGTAGAGCAGCAAATGTCTCTGCTCAGAAGCGAAGAAGGCCTGGGGTTATCTCAGAACACAGAAACTTCTGTGTTAGTCATCAGCCCCAGGGTTTTGATTTATAGAGCTTTAACTAAAGTTTGTTTGTTTGTTTGTTTTTCTGTAATGCCTTATACAATAATTTCAGAAGAGCCATGCCACAATAGACTATTTTTGAAACTAATATTGCATATAATTTGTCTTCATCTTTTATTATAAACTAAACACCATACTTGCTGACAGATTTTCTCTTTAGGTATGTTTCAGTTGATAACTTACTAGTAATTTCATTAAAAGTCATTTTATTGTGAAAATAGTTATTTGTAAATCATGTTTTCCTGTTGAAAGCATTTCAGTTTTATCATTGGCTAATAGAAACTATTATACCTCTTAAACTTTTAATATTTCAGAAAAATATGCCCAAATTCAACAAAATTCCTTTCTACCTCCAACCTCATGCATCTTCAGGAGCAAAAACTTTAAAAAAGTAAGTACCTGTTGTGCTTCCTTTACTGTTAACTGCAGACGCCCCTGTCCTTATGGTTGCTTTACAATTCAGAAGGCAGGTGCCAGGCTGGAAGCTGGTTATTATGGATTTTGTCTCCTGTCAAAATTTAGTTTAGCCAGTAATTGCCAACACATGCCTTTATAATCTCAGCACCCAGGTCAAGGCAGGAGGCCACCCTGGGCAGTAGAGTGAGCTCAGGCCAGCCAAGACTATATGGCAAGTTCAAGTAAGCCGTGTGTGGTGGCACACATCTGTATCACAGTCCTTAGGAGGTGGGTAGAGGCGGTGCAGGAGCTCAGGGCCTCAGGAGACCCTGTCTCTAAACCAAACAGTCCCCTTCAGGACAAAACCTGTGTATACTGGCTGCTTTTACAAATTCTTAGGGTATAATAAGAATGGGAAAACCAGCTTTTGACTAGAGCTTTCCAGGTTTCTAGAAGGACAAGGAATCTCACCTGAAAACATGTGGATGGGTGTGCCCAAAGACAGACTTCCCAAGCGGAAGCATGCCCAAGATAGCAGAGACAGTATGGGGTGCTGCTCCACACATGGGATGGGGTGGGAAGATCCCGTGGGTGAGAGGCTTCATGACTCTGAATTTGATGCCTGGTCAGAGTGTGCAGTGGCCTACCACCAGGAAGTCTTCGCAGATAGATGTGGCTCAAAGAGACGCTTACGGTAGAGAACTTGGAGGTGTCTAGCAAGGAAGTCTGAACCATGATCAGTATGTATGGCTAGTGAATGAAATCAACGAGGCTGTTAAAAACTGTCACAGGGATTCCCAAGCTCACACAGAGGGACGAGTTCCCACTGGCCCATCAGACACTTGAGGAGACCACTGTGAAGCTAAAATGTTGTGTCCAGCTGTACCTCCACCTGCCCCTCACCTCCTCCATAAATACACAGAGCCACTTTATAGCAAGCCAAACACATCCCTTCAAAGAGATCTGTTGACTGTGCTTCAGATCTTTGAACAGTTTAAGCCTTAGCTTAATGATGATGACTGACTGGTGTCAGGGATAAGGATGAGGAAGTGAGGGACTTTAGTTGTATAATTTAGGACGAGCCAGCTGCTGGGTTTGTGGTCTGGGGCAAGCTGTGGCTTCATGGCTAGCCTGGGCCATTTGTCGTCTCCTAGTTGAAGGCACACCCCTTGGTAGTTTATTAGTGGGTCTGCCCAGGCTTCAAGCTAGTACCTGGAGGCACGAAGTGTGGGTAGCCATTGTGTGTGAGACCCTGGAAGGGCACCACAGGGACTTCAGATGGCTCAAGGCAGGGGCTGAGAACGTGTTGGTTTCACGTGCCTGTGCAACAAGAGATCTTTCATGGTGTCAGAACATGTCATTGCCTTTTCTAGAGACAGACTCTCTGCCAGTGACATGCTGCAAGTCCGAAAGGTGATGGAACACGTCTATGAGAAAATTATCAACCTGGATAACGAGTCTCAAACCACCAGCTCTTCTAATAATGAGAAACCAGAGCAGGAGAAGGAGGAGGATATTGCCGTGTTGGCAGAGGAGAAAATTGAACTTCTGTGCCAGGACCAGGTGAGTGAAGAGCTCTGTGTCCTGCAGAGGCGCCAGAAAGGCGCCAGGGTCTTTTGGAAAGCTTCTTCCGCCCTCTCAAAGCTCCTCTCCACCTGAGGGACATGCGCAGGAAGAGGATGCATATTTCCAGATGCCCACATAGGGCTGTGCCTGGTAAACAAGGAAGGGCCGCTTAAAGAACTTGGAGTGGAGGTGGGTGGAAAGCGATGAATTACAACCAAGACACACGTGTGTGCAGGCAGGGCTGGTGCTGCTGGTGGAGCAGCAGAGGCGTACACTTCAGAATCCATGTGTGGAAGCAAAAATAGGCTCCTGGGCAAAGTGGGGAGCAAGCTGAGCCACGTGGCAGAGTCCCTGGTTAAGGATGCCTTTAGCTGTTAGTGACCTTGACATATTCTGTGCACTTTGGCTATTCAGGTTTTGGACCCAAATATGGACCTTCGGACAGTAAAGCACTTCATATGGAAGAGTGGTGGAGACCTCACCCTCCATTACCGGCAGAAGTCCACGTGAAGAGTGGGCCCATGCTCCTAGGTTATCCACCAATCACCTTCCTCTGTGGCCCCAAGAGTAGTCCTAGGAAGCCCACCAAGCCCTATGGGAGCAAGACCTCCATCGGCCGATTTGGTGAAGTGACTAATCGAGATGTAATATATACGCCAGGCTCCATGCATAGATTAAGGACTCAGAGCGCAAGGACAGAGGTACCCTGGCACTGTCCTGGGAGATGTACAGAGTCTGCAGCAGGCCAGTACGCACTTGGTTGACTCCTTTGGAAGGACCCACCTTTGTCTCTTAGCACTTGTTAGAGAACATCAGCAGACCGCATCTGTCACCGTCTCAAACCCACAAGCTCTGCAGCTTTTCTCAGTACATTCCACTCACACAGCACCTATGAAGGCTTTTTCCAAATTTGTCATTACAAAAAAAGAAAAAAAATCAAGTTGTTTTCACAACATTAAGAGTTATTTTTAATGGGAATCACTGTTGCACAATTCAAGAGCCAGCCCATTTCATAAGCAGTGACCATGTCGGGCTACTTTTGAAATTCCGCATCTCAGCTACGCCGGTACGGGAAGACCCGCAGTTCCAGGGCTGGCACGCAGCGCTTGGCTTGCAGGCAGCAGCCTGTGCTGAGCGGAGCGGCCCCATAGTGCCCTGTCTGCACAGCAGCCACATAGCTGTGGCCTGTCTCCTTCCTGTAGCGCCCAGTCTTCCTCACAGCAGAGCCAGCGGGAACCATAGCTCCTGCCTGGGTGTGCAGCGTGATGCTGTCAGAACTTAAGACCATGCTGGAGTTTCAGTTTCATTCAAATGCTACCTAAGGTTTATGTTACTAGAGTAAAAAAATCTCACAGTGAGTTGGTTTGATATTTATATTGTGGTCTATGTCTCTTTCTCCAGTTTTGTATGCAGGCGTTTATTATACCTGCGTTACATCTTTGCGCTCTTTCTAACAGTCGAAAGCTTTCACAGACTCACTTGGATCTTGTACAGAATATTAACTTATTGGGGATAAACACTTCAGCTTTTGGCAGAAGATACTTTGGATTCTTCCCAAGGTCACTTACATTCAGGCAGATGAATGGTGCACCCCAGGAAAGTGCAGAAGACAGCCGTGAGCACAGCCGGAAGCACCAGTGCCTTGAGAGGGCAGCCTACTCCGTCCCGTTGCCCTGCCTTGCGTGTGGTCTGTCCCCACAGGAGCCAGACGGGGCGCTGAGGAAGGAGGGCTTTTTTTCTTTCCTCCATCCTCACAGGTTCTGCCGGGGCAGCCGATGGGCTCAGGTCCATCCCTTACAGATTGAGGCATTGATCCGCAGCACAACTGCAAACGGGGAACTAACTGTGTTCTAACTGTGGAACCCTGACATGCCATGGCTTCCACACCCTCGAGTGAGCAAAGACGTTCTCCGGGCGTTCCTCCCTCAGAGCAACCGGCTTCTTTTTTACAGAAGTCCTTTTTATCTAGTGTTGGACACAACAGTGCACTTTTGGTGCATATTTTTTAGTGATAGTGTAAACTAAAAGCAAGGGGTGGGTGGGGGAAGCGCAGCCCCATAGTGTGCAGGGCCCCTCTGCACTAAGCGTGGGCTTGCTGGCTCACTGGCCCAGTGCTGAGCCTCAGGCAGTTGTGCCCCTGTGGTGGATTTTACCCCGAGCATGGTTGTACTTCCCCCTCTAGTCAAAAGCCAGTAAGAAGTTTCCAGAAAATTGGACAGCCTGCAATGCCAAAAGGGTCAGTCTGCATTTCGAGTTGTATAGAATAAAGCTTTAGTTAAAATATTTCACTGTGTCTTACACATTTATTTTTTTTCGCACTTGTCACTTCACGGCAGATTACAGGGAAAGAAACATCTGGGGGTTCTTTGAAACTGCATCAGTGTCCATCTTGGCCCCACTTATGGGGTCTCAGGGAGCAGAACTTCCCAGTGAGGGCAGCCAGGGTCAGAGGGCCCAGCCACAGAGTGGCCCTGAGGTGACAGTACCCACGGTACTGCCCACACTGTGGCACTCACCAGTAGCCCTGGAATGCCTCACACCTGGCTGTAAGTGTATCCATGGGGCTTGTGTTCGGCCATGCTGCTTGGCCTGTGCTTCCTAGAGTTACACGGGTCTGTGGACGGTGGGGCAGGCAGAGGCTGGAACACAAGACCAAAGGCAGCTTACAGTAATTAGCATGGAGACTGGAGCTGGGGGACAGCCTGGCGCCATCTGTAGGGAGCCAGCCATGCAGATGATCTCTCAGCCTTTGCCTTGAAAGGGACAGCTCCCCTCATGCTGAGGACCAACAGGAGAGGCCTTTACCCGCCTACTCTCTGTCAGAGCCTCCTCTGCACGTGGGAGCTGACAGGAGGGATACAGGATACAACTGAGGTGCATAACCCCTCCCCAGGACAGGGCTGGGGATCCCTGTGAATGGACTAGAATGTCCACCCTGGAAGTAAAGCAGCCAAGTATACTGGGACTCGGACCCTTCTCAGTACAGGCAGGGCTACCTGCAGGCACAGCCTCTCTCCTCCCTTCCCCCACTTGCCCCTCACCCCATCTTCACACTTGATCCTGACCAGGCCCTGCCTTCCTGTGAGGCTTCAGTGCCTCACTGACTGCCCAGATTCTGTCTCCTGCCTCAACAGAAGCTCACTGTTCCTCTGCTCATTGTTCCTCTGGCACTCCTGCCCCTTCAGTCCAGGACGATGTTCTGAGGTGAAGCCTGGACCCTAGGAAGATTCCAGCAAAGCCCACGCCTCACCGGGAGCTGCAGCCTAGACAGCTAAACCTAAGCAACACCAAAAGTCACCAGGAGCCTTCTCACAGCCCAGGCTGTGCACCAGGGCCAACCTGGGCTGGGCTGGCCAGCCCCTCAGTCTCGGCTCTGCGATCCAGGCTGTCAGTATCTGCTGGCTCCTCAGTCTGTGCCTCCAACAGTTCCGCAGATAGCCCTTCCTCCGGTGAGGCTGCCGAGGTGAGGCCGTCGGGGAGAGTGAGCTGGGGCAGGTGGTCCGCCTGGACCTGGGCACCTGGGCTGTCTGGGAACGAGATCTCAAACTCCGACCCCGACCACGTAGCTTCACCTGAAATGCAAGGCAGCCCACCCTGTGATTACCCCGGTAGCCCAGGCTCGGTGGAAGTCAGAGGTCCAGCATAGGAATCCCTTGATGCAGCCAGCCTCTAAGGCTGTCTGAGGACCTCAGCAGCCCTCCCCACGCCCGGGAGGCGTCACCAAAGGTCACTCACCACCCCGCTCATGAGAACTGCTACTGGAGCCGACATCCTCTGGTCCTGAGGCTGAGATGGCTGCGGAGGTCAGCACTGTGGAAGGTGACAGGCTGGGGCACATGCTTCCGTTGCTGCTGTCCAGGAGGGACATTCCTGACACATCCAGGAAGCCTGCAGAGGGAGAGCAAACCCAGTTCCATGCTCGCAAAAAGCCCCATTCACTGGAAACCTGGGAGCCTGCCCCCCACCCCACCCCACCCCCGCCATGTTCCTGGAACACCTAGCTTGGCCTCGGCCCCACAGATGCCCTCCACCTGACCCATCGAGGCTGCCACAGCCGGTCCCTGAGGGACAAGAGAGCCTAGCAGCACCGTGGCAATGGGCCCAGACTCTGCAACTACCTGCCAGGTCCCCTAAAATGGCCTTGTCTACTCAGGATGGTGCCGAAAGGTTAGCAGGCCCTGATGAATGTGGGGCACTGCCACACAAGCCGAGCCCTCAGCCTGCGGCCCACTTCAGCACCAGGACTCCAGGCACCTCAGTCTCCTCCAGGACCTGGCCCATACCTGGGTCCATGACCCGCTGCACTGGAGGCGGAGGCTGGAGTGGGATCTCCATGGGATGTGGGTATCCCCCATGGTCAGCAGCGCCATGGGTGGGACTCCCAGGCCTAAGGAGCTGTCCCTCCAAAAAGCTGCCAGGAACTTGGGGCAGGGCCTAGAGGTGCAGGAAAGAACAAAGTGAGGGTCAGGACAGGAGCTAGAAAGAGCCAGTGTAGACACAGGTTCGTTCTAACCTAACTGAAACCCACACTTGCACTGGAAGCAGTGCCTTCCTTCCTGTGAGTGACGGGAGGTCAGCCAGATCCGCCCTGCAGCAGATATACTGAGGGAGCTTTCTGACGCTCCCTGATTCCCCAAGCCCCCCCCCACTCGTCCTAAAGTCCAGCACTGGCCTGGCTGCCCTCTGCCTCACGGCGGGAGCAAGGTTTTGCCCATTTCCGGGTCAGGCTCCCACTCACAAAATGAGCACCAGTGCCTCACCCCCGCTCCCTAAGAGCAACAGCCAAGCATGTTCTACCCAAAGACAGCCCTTCTGCTTCTGCTACACGCCGGAAGCAGACGAGCCCCTAATGATACAACCCCTCACAGGCCCACGGGGTGGCTTTCTTGGGTCCCCAGAAAGCCTCCAGCTGGCAGACACAGTGCCCCCCTCTCCTCCCTGGCCTGACAGGTGCTCCCCACACACCTCCACATAGTCACTTTGCCTGGACCCCAACTCTGGGCCAGGAGGGTCATGAGGGACGGGCCACGATGGTGGGGCACCAAGAGGCCAGGTGTTATGTTGTGGGGTCTCAGATGACGGACTGCCAGGCGGCGAGGCGCCCAGTGGCTTCTTGTGCTGGCTGGAGGGCTGCGTGGGGATCCGGTGCAGGTACCCATAGCCAATTCCACACCCCAGGCTGTGGATGGCCAGAGACGTTCAGTCAGGGCGGTCCACGCCACAGCCCTCCCTACTTCTACCACCCCTAGACACCCTCAGTGACTGAGCAAGGGTGCTGGGCTCTGAGGTCCAGCTCTGTCTCCTCCAAGGGATGCCCGAAGCCCATGCCCACTGGGCCAGCCCACCCACCTCTACCCCGGGAAGTACCTGCCCTCTCCACCCCAGGCTGCATTGGGCGTCACAGTCACCTCCCGGCAGGAGTCGGACTCAGAGTTATACACCATGAGCTTCAGGGGCTTCCCCTCATGGGACTCAATGAGTGTGAAGAAGTCTTCCGACTAGGAGAAACACAGGGTCTGAGGGCTGATCCCAGGGTGCACCTGGCAGCCTCAGGTGAGACACTCTCCACAGCTGTCCACATCCCTTCAGGGGGCCCGGAAAGAGCACAGCATGGGTTCCTCACCTCCTGGAGAATCTGGTCAGAGCCAACTACGTAGTCTGTGTAAGGGCGCAGGCCGGCCAAGGCGGCAGGAGAGGCGGGTTCCACGTCCTGAGTAAGAGTGATAAAAGGCCCACTGCTGAGCAGAGAGAAGAGGCAGGGAAGAAAAACACTTGTCCTCTAGCATGAGATGTCTTCTTCACAGGGCCCAAGTGTCTTCCCTTTACAGGCTGCAGCCTCGTCACAGAGGGCAGTGCCCACACACAGGCAGAGTCTAACCCTTAAGCTGCCCCAGCAGCCACAGGCCTGTGTTGGGAAACGCCACTGAACCTCTCCAGATCCCAGCACTTGGGAGGCAGAGGCAAGCCGATCTGTCTGAATTCAAAGCTAGCCTGACCTACACAGAGAGTTCCAGGCCAGCCAAAGCCACAGAGTGAGACCCTGTTTCAAAACAGCTGGATACCTAATCCATGGCCTGTGGCCATGTGGGGCACAGGATAGCTACTGATACAGTCCAACCCCAAATCATAGCCTGCAAAAACCACCATGAGGGGCTCGTGGGGTGGCTTGCCTTTACCTGAGTTCACACTCCAGAACCCAGATGCTGCATACACAACTAGCTAGAGATGGCAAGACAAGAGCAAGACTCACTGCCAGCAGCTCAGGCCAACGAGAGACACTGTCTCAACAGAGATGAACAAGATTCCCAGCGATGACACCCAAGGTTGTCTTCTGGCCACCACATGCACACACAAATAAGCGTGTGTCCACACGCACATACACACACACACACACACACACACACACACACACACACACACATACACACTGTTTTTTTTTTTTTTTAAAGGAATGGCTAGCAAGATAGCTCAGCGCGTGAAGAACGTCAGCGGACCGGAGTTCAGTCCCCAGGAGTCCACGTGCTGGACGGAGGGCTGTCCCCCGACCACCACCCGTTTGCAGGACACGCATGCACCCGCACGAAATTAATGCAGTATTTGTAAATAAACAAAGCATTCATTACCAAGTGCGTCTCGTCACTAGGCTGTGTGGCTCTGCACTGAGTTTCCTAGGTGACATCATGCTCACTACAACAGCACATAAAATAGAGACACGCTCTCAAGACTCGAAAGTCGATAGCTGGGCACCCAGGGAACATGTGACCCAAACAAGGAGCCATCTCTGGCCAGACACTGGACAGCCCTGCCGTGACCCCACAGTCCCCAAGGACTGCTCTGGAGCCTGCCCTGTCACTCCAGTTCACGCATGGGCAGGCCTCTGCTGGCAGCCTGCACAATATCCCCATCATTGCTGAGAGGCAGCTAAAACCCCAACTAGCAAACCTTCCAGCAGGGGCACCCTCCCTCTGCCGAGCCAGGAGACTGAGCATGGGAGAATCTGGGTGCCACTGATGCACGCAGGCGCGAGTGTGCATGGTGTCTGTGACCTAAGGCTAGCGTCCGGGGCAGCTCAGTTGCTGAGATCCCCTCATGAACCTGTTACATAGCAACAGGCCAGAGAGACTACCACATCGTCTTCCTGTCCCACCTGGAGCAACACTGAACACGACCGAGAGCTTCTGTCGGCTCATGACCCTTCAAATAAGAAACCTAAGCACGGGTCACAGGCTTGGATGCCTGCACTCGCTGCTCTGGCAGGACACCACAAGTTCCATCCCCAGCACCCACTTGGCAGATCACAACCATCTGTAGCTCCAGTCCGAGAGGATCCCAGATCCTCTTCGGCCCCCAGGGGCCCTACACACTCGTGCTGCAAAGCGCGCATGCAGATAAAATGCCCGTATACCCGAACAATAAGAGAGTTTCAAAGGAGAACGCCTAAGGTTGTCAGGTTGGTTGCACACACTCTTACTCCCAGCACTCGGGACACAGAGGCCAGTGGAACCTCTGTCCACAGAGGTTCGTGGACAGCCTGCGCTACACAGTGAATTCCAGGCCAGTCAGGGCTATGCAGTGAGACCTGTCCCAAAATAACAAAACGAGACAAGAATGTTACACAGCTAATGAAAGCAATAATCAACTGTCCTCTGAGGACATGGAAAAAATTCCAGATCCAGCACCGCTGCCCTCGGACCCCTGCCCACCCATCAGCCCTGGCCATCCTGCCCCCGCACGCCCGGCCCGGTCCACTAGGCCCATCCGGTACTCACCAGCACATGCCACACATGCTCACTGGCCCTGCGGAAGCTGCAGAAGCGCACGCTGGCTCCAAGCAGGCCCTGGCCGCCCCACATGTTGCTGGGCGTCACCTCCACCTCTCGCACCTTCATGGTCTTCATGTTGAAGACCTCCAGCTTCACTGGCTTCTCCACATTGGCCTTCAACAGGGCCTTCAGCGTGTCATTCTCCTTGTTCTGCCGGGGCAGCGAGGCGCTGGCTCAGCCTGAGGCTCCCACCCCCCGCTAGAACCCTTGGACAGCTCAGGGCCCAGGCCCCGGGTATCAGGGGCCTGGGAAGAGGGTCAGCTGAAACAATATCGGCGCACAGCTTCCCGGGCTGGGTCTGCAACTGAGTGCCACCACCCAGCTCCAGGCAAAACCACCACCATCACCAACCCCCTTGGTCCCTAAGCCTACCAGAAAACATAACAAAGCAAGTAAAAGGCCTCTTGGGCCCATGTCCAAAGGCCTCACGTGCCTTGCAAGACAGCCTTCTTAGGCCTAGGGGCCGCCTCCAAAAGTCCCTCTGTGGCCCTGGGCCACCCAAGAAGAAGGGGAGCCAGAAGCAAACTGGGGCCCCCTGTGGGGTCAGGAGGAGCCTCACCAGCCTTGAGTGCCCGATGGTGATGATGAAGTCAAAGTAGGGTTCCAGGCCCGCCTGCTGGGCCGGCGAGTTCTCCTGTACCTGTCACGGGGCAGAGGCATGATTCACGCAGGCTGAGAGAGCCAGCCCCCAGCCCTGGACCAGTGGAAAGGACTCATGCCTGCAAACTGCTCTGGCCACAGTCGAGTCTCAACCATCTCCCCACTCACTACCCTCCCAGATACAAGCTTCCTCTGGGGAAAGGACTTTTCCTGATTGTGAAACACAGATGCTTCCAGAGAGGACTCACACAGCCTGGGAGGAAAGAACACCTGGGAACACTGCCTCCCACCCCAAAACTGAGCTGGAGCTGGCTAGGAGGCCAGAGGGGTTGGCCAGGAAGACCCAGACATGCAGGAGAAATGCAGACAGGCCTTGCTGTAAGGGGCTGGGCAAGGCAGCCTGTGGCCAGATCCTAGAAAGCCCAGACCCCTGGTGGCTGCCCAGGCCCAGTCAGGCAGGCACTGAGAGCCTGATGGTGAAGCAGAGCGGTCCCATGGTCAGGACTGCCCCTACTGCCTCTACACACAGTCCTGCTCCCCGTGAGTGCCCCTGCCCCTCAATACCAGCTCACTGCTGTCTCAGCTACCCCACACACTGTGCCAGGAACCCATCTCCAAGCCCCACCCCCACACAAGGCAGCCTGTGTCCCCAGGTCCCGAACACTAAAGACACGGCTCGGCCTTTGGCTCAAACCTTTTGCTATGAACATCTGATGGTGATTTCCTGGGCCAGACATCAACCAGGCCCTAGGTAAGAGTCCAACTGACAGGACATGGGACTCCTATGACCTCACATCCTTGGTACCTACACTGGATTTGCCAAGCTGAAGGAGAACCCTCAGAAGCCTAATAAGGAAGAGGTACTGGAGGTGTCTCTAGGTCAAGGCCATGTCACCCTTGGCATGAAAACTCCCTAACGACAGCACTGACGGAGTCCCTGGGTGCCACCTCCTGGAGCTGCCAGGCCTCCCAAGGGAGGAGGCCCATGTTGGCTGCTAGCCCAGCCCTAAGGGCAAGCTGTTCCAAGTCCTGCTCCATGCTTGGGGGGCCCTGCTTCAGGGCCTCTGAAACCTTCCCTGCCCCTCTAGAGCAGCGGTTCTCAACCTTCCTAACGCTTCGACCCTCAATCCAGTTCCTCATGTGGTGACTCCAATCGCAACTTCCTTCATTGCAACTTCAAAACTGTAAATCTGCTGCTGTTCCAACAGAAATACCCGTGTCTTCCACGGTCTTAGGTGACTCCTGTGAAATGGTCTGTCAATCTCCAAAGGGTCAGGACCCACGTGCTGAGAACCACTGCTCTAAAGGCTTTTGAAGCCCACAAGACTGGATTATCTTAGAGAGTGGAGGTCCTCCCAAAGCAGAGCGGCTTCCAAATCACCCCAACTCCATCGGGGAAGGCCACATTGCTCCTGAGATGGTCATCGCTAAGGGGGCCAGGAGGCCCTGGTTCCCTGCCCATCTATGCTTTCCACCCACCCACACCCACTCACACCAGTTACCTGTCCTCCACACTCTGCCCGTTAGAGCTCCACCTGCCAAAATGATGTCAGCTGTCGCCCACCGCACCCCATTCCTGTGAAACCCACTGCCTTTCCACCCTGACACTCTCAGTGCACCCCACAGCGCAGCCTACAGCTCCGCTTCTCCCAACAGGGACCCCAGGAACGGCTGGGGCAAACTGGCCAGGCGGTGGCTGCCGAGCAATAGGGCATGTCAACACCGCGCATGCGTACAGCAGTCTGTAGCCACTTCACTGACCCAGTTTACAGGTGAGAAAGGAGCCCCGCAACTCAGCCATCCGATCCTAGAAAATGCAACCTGGTTACGGCATTTTCTGTATGACTTCTCCACTACTGCACAGTCGCTGAGTGGGGCAAGGGCGCCCCCAGCGTGCTGAGGAAGACAGGGAACAACGACATTCAGAGGATTTAGCTCCCTTGTTCTTTGGCTCTTAAAACAAGGGGGGGGGGGGGGCGGTGAGAGGCTGCTGAGATGGCACAGCAGGTAGAGACACTTGATGCCAACCTTGGAATCCATAGGTGGAAGGAGAGAACCAGTTCCACTGACCTCCACATACCGATGCCATTTCACACATGCCTATGTACACACACGTAAGTGTGTGTGTGTGTGTGTGTGTGTGTGTGTGTGTGTGTGTGTGTAAGTCATGTCATCCCTCTGCTTAAAACAGAGGCTGGACAGACGGCTCAGTGCTCAAGAGCACTTGTTGCTCTTCTAGAGAGCCTGAGTTCAGGTCCCAGCACCTACGTGGTGGCTCACAACCATCCATGACTCCAATTCCAGGACACCTAACACCCTCATCTGACCTCTGTAGGGACCTGGCACATACACACATGTAGGCAAAACATTCTTACACATAAAATGAAAACAAATGCATTTAAAACAACAAAAATCCTCCGGATAGTTCCATTTCTCCAAATAAAATACCAAGCCTGAGGACCTGAGGAAGTAGCTCAGGGGCATCTCCAGCTTTCAGGAGGCCTGGGGTTAGTCTTCCGGATGCCCAGCCTCATCCTCCTCCACTCTCCTGTCAGCAGCCACCCTCCCTGCATGCCACGTCCCTGACATCTGAGCAGAACCCAGCGGCCCTGCTGTTGCCCTCCCTCCACTCTTGGCTTCACCATCCGCTCAAGTGCTGAGCAGACGCCTTCCTAGCCAGCCCCATCTGCAGACAACTCCTCAGCCCCTTCAGCTGCATCATTTGTCGTGTGGCAGCGACCACGTAGCACAGGTCTACCTGTATGTAGAGCGATGTGTGTGCCTGGCGGTGGTGGCGCACACCTTTAATCCCAGCGCTGGGGAGGCAGAGGCAGGCCCATCTCAGAGCTAGTTCCAAGACAGGCAAGGCTATCAAAGAAAAGGCCCTGTCTCAAAAAAAAGTGTGTGTGTGTGTGTGTGTGTGTGTGTGTGTGTGTGCGCGCACTCGCGTGCGCACCAGTGTTTGCAGATGCCAAGTGTGGGGGTGGTGCCCATGAGGCCAGAAGGGGACTTTGGACCCCTTGGAGATGTAGTTACAGGCAGACGTGAACAACCCAATGTGGTTACTTTTATTTGTGTGTGTGTGAGCACACGCACATACACACATTCTCTCTGTGTGTGTGTCTCTCTCTCTGCAGGAACTGAACCTGGGCTGTCTAGAAGGCATGGGGTCTTAAGTGCTGAGCCATCTCTTCAGCACACTGTGCATGTTTTGAGATAAGCCTTGATGTGTGACTCAGAAGGGCCTCAATTTGGAGCCCTTCTACCGGTACCTCTAAGTACTGCTGTTCCGGGTGAAGCCCCCACACCCACTCCACACGGTTCTTTACGGCCTTCCTCCTCTCCAATATGCTTCCAAATCTAAGTATTCTGTCTACTGTGTTATCTCAGGTGCCCGAAGCTCTGCCTGCCACAGAATATAAGTTCAAAGCGTGTCTATAGCAAGGCAGCCTGGGGCACACCCGACATCCTGGTGCTCGGGAGGCAGAGGTAGGAGGATCAGGAGTTCAAGGCCATCCTCGGCTACATGAGATCCTGTAGCAACAAAACAAAACAAAGGGGCTGGAGAGAAGGGTCAGCACATCAAAGAGCCCACCGCTCTTTCGGGCACTGGGGGTCAGGTCCCAGCACACATGTGCGACAGCTCCCAAATAACTGACTTCGGCTCAAAGGGACCTGAAACCTCTGGCTTCAGGTCACTCACATGCACATACAAACACACACATACACGCATGAACACACGCGCTATAACTACATCTTTGTAAAGGGTTCTCGTCCTCCGACCAGATCAGCCTGGGCCCCTTCAAGCCCCACCCCCTTACCTTCACTCCCAACTACCACCTCACCACCTCTTGTGCTCCTGAATTCCTGTCTTCCCAAAAGCCAGCTTTAAAACACCCTTGCTGGATGCAGTCCAGTGCCCACCAATCCCCAGGCACCAATCTTGTCACTTCTGGTCTGTGATACCAACGTGGCTTCCCAACTAGGAATCACTCCTAGCCCTAACGCCAGCCTTCCCCTGGCATAGACCAGAGAATTGTAGTGGCCCAGGAGGCAGGGGCAGATGGATCTCTGCAGGTTCCAGGCCAGCCTGGTCTACACAGCAAGGTCCGGGTCAGTCAGGGCTACCTGTGGAGACCACTTCAAAACAACAAAAATAAAATGTAGAAGAGGCTGAGAAGGGGCGGCTGAGAGTTGGAGACCAGCTTGAGCTACACACTAAGGTCCTGTCTGCAGGAATGAGGGCAGGCAGGCTGATTCAACAGCCAGGCAACCTGACAAACCTGCCCGCCTCCACACAACTCCGCAGCCACCTGCTTTTCAAGGGGGCAAAGCGAGGGAGCTGGGTTCAAACACCTTCCTGGCCCAATTCCACACGGACTCTACTTCCCAGAAGCCTGTTCGCCTGTTCCCTATAAGTGACACGTAGGGCCTCGCAAGTCTCGGAGTGTTTCACTCCGAGGGCCTAATGCCCACCCTAGCTCCAGTCATTCTGGCCATGCCACCCTCCTCAAACCTTCCCCAAGCCCACGAGCTCCCCTAGCCCCATGCACTACGCCTCACAGAAGGGGCCCCGGGTGTCGGGGGCGCTGGGCCTCGCCAGGCTGGCAGGGAGGTCACTGCAGGCCCCGGGGCTGTGCAACCCTCCCTGGTGCCCGCCCAGCGCCCCGGCTCACCCCGTGGAGGTGGAAGCCCTCACCGCCCGCCGGCTGCTCCGAGCTTGCTCCTAGCCCCATGGCCGCCCTCTCCCTCCGCTGCGTGGCCTGGTCACGTGGGGTCCGGCCACGCCCTCCCGGATATCACCGCTCTTAGCAACAGGCCGGCTGCCAGGTTGCCAGGGACGCGCGCACCTTAGACTTCCGGCCGTGAGCTGGGCTGCGAATTGGGCGGCCAGAGCTGGAAATCCCTCTCATCCAGGCATCACCTGAGCCGGGCGGCAGCGATGAGCGGCGGCGATGACTCCTGCCTCATGGTGCGTGAGCGCTGGGCCGTCTGCGCCCCGGGCTGCTTCTGCAGTTAGGACAGCTCAGCCCCAGGCTGCTTCTCTGCTCTCTGGCCTTCTCTGCTCTGGGGTCACCTCTCTGCTCTCTCTGGCCATCTGCCGCCTCTGCCTCACTACCCACCCTGCTGTCTGCCCTCGGGCCATCTCTACTCTTGGGCCGCTTCACCCCACAGCCACCTCTACCCCTCTGTCCACTACTCTGGCAGCCTCAAGAAGACCTTCCGTCTTCCCTAACTCCCTAACCAAAGCATTGCTTCCTGGGTCCTCTGCACCCCCAGCCTCAAATCCATAGCCTGACCCGCCCCTACGCTCCAAACCAGAAGTCCATCATTTTGTCACATCTTCCTCTTAGCCCCGCCCCGGAACCTCTTCTACATCCCCATCTCAGTAGATTCTGTGAGCTCTACCTGTTCTTATGCCCACCTCCCAACCCTAGTCCCAATCCAACAAGAAATGTCAGCTTCCGAATGTCTCCAAGGTTCACATAAGCCAGAGCCACCCTGTCTCCCCTAGACACCGCCAGCCTGCGCCTCTTCGCCGGCCTGTGCACCGCCTGCGAGCACGCGTCACCACACTCGACAGCCACCACTGCTTCTTTAGAATACCTGCACTGGAGGTGGCTGGGGATATAGCGCAGTTCCCAGAGGAGGAATGCCCCGGGCCCTGGGTCTGATCCCCCTCGCCATATAAAGCAGGCGTGATGGTGCGTGCCTTTAATCCCAGCGCTTGAGGGGTGGAGGAAGAAAGGTCAGAAATTAAAAGCAGTTGAGTTTGAGGCCAGTCTGGGACACATGAGATTCTGTCAAAAGGTTCTGAAGGCATCACTCCTGTCCTTAAAACCATTCCGGCTGCTTCCTGTGTGTTACCCTGAGATGATACCTAGGCGCCTTCAAGTGGCCCGTGAAGCTTTTACGGAGCCAACCACATCTCTCCGAAACTCAGCACCCACAAACCTTAGAGGAAGTGAGGCTTCACTTTGAAATCGAAACCCCAAGCATTGTGTGATCTCTGGGGGAGCGGTAGGGTTCAGCTTCCTCAGCTACAAAAAAGAAGACGTGCATAACGGTGATAGGTGTGGAGCCCATGAAAACGGTCCCCAGCTTATCACTGCCACTTGCTCCCACTGCTCCTTACTCCTTCCTTCCTTTCCCTCCTGTGACAAGCCTGAGCTGACTTTACATCAAGCATCCCCCAATCACAAAAAATCCCCGTCCTAGCAAAACTACCCAGAGCTACTCCCAGGGCTGCTGAAGGGAAGGGAAGGCAAGGCCTGGAAAATGGCCTTTCCCCTCCTGTCTGAGAAGGAGCAGGTCTTACCCCGTCTGGGTCAGAACAAAGGCGTGAAGGACTGGGGCGATCACCGCCATGTCTTTTTCATACAGGCGACGATCGTTTACTACAGCCAGGAGAAGTACTTCCGCCACGTGCAGCAGGCTGCCAGAGCGGGCCTAGAGAAGTACAACGATGACCCTGTGCTGCACTTCTTCAGAGCCTATGGAGTCCTCGGGGAAGGTAAGGCAGTCTCCGACCCCGGTACCAACCTAGCCAGCCCTATCCGCTGGCAGCATCTGGATGCCTGCTTCTAGCTACGTTTCCACGGAAACCTTCACGCTGACCCACTGATAAACAGAAACCTGTGGAGTCCATATCAGGTTGGCTTTTGAGATCTTGGCCCACTGTCCTTGCCATGAGCCTCAGTTTCCCTATCTATGAGATGAGTGATCGGAGAGAGGGCTACACGACTGGTGAGCTCCTCTGGGGCTTGGAAGCTGAGAGCCAGATGTGAGGGAAAAGCGAAGTGGGAAGATAGGGCGCAGATGTGAGAGGGCAGGGTTTAGACAGAGCCAGGTGCTGAGAACTGTCCCTCCGAGCAGCCTGTAGCCAGCACTGGGGACACAGGACTGGGAATGTCCTATCCCTCCTCAGAACCCACTTCTGGGCTGGACAGGTGGATCAGCAGTTAGGAGCACTTACCATTCTCACAGAGGACTCGGATTCACTTCCTAGACTCCACAAGGCTGCTCATAACCATCTAGAACCCTCTTCTGGCCTCCTGTACACACATAAAATAATAAATGCATTAGTAAACAAACAAGGTGGAAGGTGCCTAAAGAAAACTGAAAACCGCCTGTGTTCGTCCTCCGACCTTCACACACAGACACACACACACACCTCCCCTTGCCAGCCTGGACCATGGTGTCAACAGCCTTCAGAGAACTTCGCCCTCCAGGAGATGCAGGCTCTTGAGGACCTTTCACATCAGCTGTTTCCAGGTTCTGCATGTGAAAGCAGGAGGTGACTGTCAGGTATCTGTGTTCTCTTGTCCTGAGTCCCAGAGCAGAACTCTGTTCTCTTTCCACAGACCGTATCCATGATGCCATCACTGAGCTGGAGAGCATCCAGAGCCACCCAGACACTTCCCTGTGCTCTGTCATGGCTCTCCTCTACGCTCACAAATGCTGTGACACTGTTGGTGAGTACAGCTATGACTGGGCCTCTAGGGGAGAAGAAGCCACTGCGGAGACAGAGCCTTTCAAGGGCTGTCAAAGAAGTGGCCGTACACAGGCAGGCTGGATCTGCTAGCCAGCCAAGACAGGCTCTCCCTCACCCTGCTCCACAAGCTTCAAGCCTAATGTCTGACACCAGCTGAGGAGGAGCAGGCAGAAAGCATGACAAAAGGGGTCATCCCTCCAGACCAAGAGTTTTGAAAACATCTTCATTCCACACCAAGCTACTTTAAATAGAAATAAACATATAAATATTTAAATAGAAATAAATATATAAATATATTATTATAATTATATATATATATATATAAATCCAGCCATTCTAAATCTCCTAATCTGAGGTCCCCAGGGAGTCAGAGAGAGGTGCCAATGTAGACTCCCATCTCTCACTCAGGATGGACTGTGGGCCTCAGTCAGGGATTCGGATTTAGTCCATCTGCTCAAAACACTGATGGATGGGGGGGGCTCTCAGTAAACTGAGCCCAGTGGACACAGCCCCCGTGGAGGTGGGCGCCACTGGTAGAGAAGGGTACAGTACATGTATCAGGGGAGACTCCAGCCCTCCCTCAGCCTCCTCCTCCTCTCGTGGATCTAGATGGAGAAGCAGTTCTGGAGTTGGAGAGCAGCCTGAAGGAGATCCGCAAGACTGCCAGCGACACTGCCTTGTACTACGCTAGTCTCTTCCTCTGGCTCATGGGCCACCACGACAAGGCTAGGGAATACGTCGACCACATGCTGAAGGTCTGCAGTGGCTCCAAAGAGGTACAGGAGCATCCTAGCCATGGCCAAGCAGAGCAGCATCATAGCAGGCTCACTCCCAGAGAGTCCTGGAACCGGGGCCAAACCCAAGCATAAGACCCTGGGTCTCACACTCATTCCTTATCTAAAACCGCTTTGTCATTTGTGCATAGCATCCTGTTTCTAGAGTGCTTTTCTATGGCTCATCTGCTTGCTTGCTTGCTTGCTTGCTTGCTTGCTTGGGTTTTGGGCAGGATCTATTGCATAAACATTTCCTGAGAGACAAAAACAAGTACACACTCACACCAAAGAGGGCATCAACGATAGACCAAATACAATTCCTCTAAAGTCCAACTTGGCAGAACAATGAATCTGCTGGGCTTGACCCCAAAGCAGCCACAAACAGAAAGAACCTCACTTCAGCCTGAATGATGCTTTCCCCATAGCTGCAGAGACAGTGTCTCCAGAAAAAAACCCTACCCACCCTGTTTGTACCATCTCCCAAGACCAGGAGGCCAAACACAGATAAGGCAAAATTCCAGTGAGGAGGTAGTGATGCACGCCTTTAATGCCAGCCTTTGGGAGGCAGAGGCAGGCAGAGCTCTGAATTTAAAGCCAGCCTGGTCTACAGAGCGAGTTCCAGAAAAGCCAGGGCTACACAGAGAAACCCTGTCTCAAAAATACATACATACGTGTGTGTATATATACATACACCTGGCAGTGAGGTGCAGGCAGGTCTGAATGAGCCTCCCAACTCCGCCTCCTATGAGAGAACAGCAACAGCCCTGCTTTTTTTGTATATTGGTTTTGTTTGGTTTGGTTTTGGTTTGGTTTGGTTTGGTTTGGTTTGGTTTGGTTTGGTTTGGTTTGGTTTGGTTTGGTTTTTCAAGACACGGTTTTTCTGTGTAGTCTTGGTTGTCCTGGACTTGCTTTGTAAACCAGGCTGGCCTCAAACTCACAGACATCTGCCTCCCCAAGCGCTAGGATCACAGGCATGCTCCAGCACACCTGGCTCAGCCCTGCTCTTGAGAGCAGCTTGTCAGTGGCCACAGCTGCTTTTGATGATGGTGATAACAGCTGTTGTACTCATGGCCTGTGTTCTGCAGCAAGTCTCTCATGTCAAGGTCTCGCATTGGGCTGGAGAGATGGCTTAGAGGTTAAGAGCACAGGCTGTTCTTCCAAGAGTTCATGAGTTCAGTTACCAGCAACCATACACAGCTCTTAGCCATCTATAGTGAGATCTGGTGAACACTGTATAAATAATAAGTAAATACTTTTTAAAAAGTCTCACATAGTTCACACTGTAGCCAAAGATGGCTTTGAACTTCTATTTGTCTGTCTCCAGCTCCAGGGTGCTGGGATTAGAGGCAGGCTCCATGCCTGGTCCAATTCAATGCTGGGGACAGAACCTGGGACTTTCTATAAGCTTACCATACATACCCATCCCAACGCACCATTTTTTTTTTTAATTTTTGTTTTGAACTTATGTGTGTATGGGCATTTTCCATGCATATATGTCTGTGTACCACATGTGTGCTAAATGCCTGGAACTAGAGTTACAGATGGTTGTAAGTGACTGTGTGGGTGCTGGGAATCGAACCAGGGTCCTCTAGAAGAGCAAGCCAATGCTCTCAACCCTGAAAGCATCTCTTGAGTACCCCCCTCCACATTATGTTTTAAACATCTTGAATTATTGCTGACATATAGAAAAATCAGACGATTTGGCTGGCAAGATGGCTCAATAGCTGAAGACACTTGCTGCCAAGCCTGATGACTTGAGTTTGAACTCCAGAACCCATATGGTGGCCTGCACTCCCCAGGCCCAGCCCTCCGCATACCTGGAGGAAGCTGTATGCAGGTTGGAGAAGTGTGGAGGCCAGGAGAGGCCCTAACCAAGCTCCAGTCTTGTTAACCTGACTGCAGGGGCCAGTCCATGGGGAGACGGGAACACCCTAGAAAGGAGTGATGGAGCGCCGTGGAGAGTGGTGGGATGCAGGAAAGGGGGACCCCTGGGATGAGGTGGGGAGACCCCAGGCTGAGCTGTAACCAAGCCCTTTACCAGATGTGTGAGGCCCGATTTGGAAGGTGAGAGGTGGCAGGGTGTCCCAGGTGGGTGCAGGCAGAGGGCACCGCCTGGCAGAGGGGATGTGGAGATGGGGAAGGTGGGACACAAGGCAGTTTGGGTACAAGCTGGGCAGGACTCACTTTTCCCCTTGTTCTCTCCCAGGGCTATGTGCTCAAAGGCTGGGTGGACCTCACGACCAATAAGCCCCATGTTGTGAAGAAATCCATCAAGTACCTGGAACAAGGAACTCAGGACACGAAAGACGTGCTGGGGCTCATGGGCAAGGTGGGTGGGCGGAAGTGAAGGTGTCTCCAACCCGGTCACCGGAGCTAGAGGTATGCTAGGCAAACTCAAGCCACATCTGAAAGGGCCAGCAAGCAACGCCAGGCTAGGGCAGGCCAGGGCCCACTCCTTCCTGCTTTGTTGTTTTGTGTTGTTTTGAGTGCCAGGGAATTGAGCCCAGGGCTTTTGCACATGCTAGGCAAGCCCTCTGCCACTGAGCTTTAGCCCTAGCCCATTTGGTGTTTTGAGAATAGGCACTCATGTACCGAAGGCTGGCCTTGTACTCACTATGTAGCCAAGGCTAGACTTGAGCTCCTGATCCTTCTGCCTTCACCTCTCAAATGCTGGGTTGGACAAGAGCAGGAGTGACCAGGCAGCACTTCTTCCTTCTGCCAGGGCTGTGTCAGGTTTACCTCTGACTCTTCCCTCTCTGCCTCTTTCTTGATCTCACTCTCTGTCCCTCTTCTGTGCCTCAGATTTTCACTCCTCTCCTTCCCTCCAATCTCTCCCCACTTGTTCACGTTACTTAATGGCCACAGGGAAAGGGAGGCATACACTTTGCATGTTTTGAATTTTCTGATCTTAATTTGAATGAAATTCTTTTTTCCTTTATGAACCTCATTGACTCAATCTTTGAGAGAAGAAAACTTCTCTCTTATATTATTCTCTGTCTCTATCCTTACAAAATGTCTACATAATTATTGAGTCACAGGAGAGGGAAAGGAGGGAGCAGAGATACCACTTGCAAGGGCTCTACCAACTGAGCTACCTCCCCAGGCCTTTAGCCTTTTTAGAAGTCCTGCTCTAGCCCTTAGGACGCCCCTGGGGACTGTGACTGACACTGGGCTGCAGAGGCCACCATCCCTAGTCACAGAGTCAGCAGCTTCCCAGGCTGCCTGTCAGGTAGGCCCCACAGTTAAACTTTGGGCCTTTGGGTTGCACTGACCACCCTGACCTTCAGCCCCTGAGGCTGAACCTGTCTGGGCATCACTGACGGAAGTTCTTCTCGGGGCCCCCACAGGCAACATACTTCAAGACACAGCAGAACTTCTCTGGGGCCCTGGAGGTGGTGAACCAGGTTACTGTGGCCTGGGGGAACTTCCTGCCGGCCTTAATCCTGAAGATGAGGCTGTTCCTGGCTCGGCAGGATTGGGACCAGACGATAGAAACTGGACAGAGGTGAGGGATGTGCCGCTTGCCTGGCCCTCCCTTTTAAGTATTCTGGGGGTTGCTAGGGATGGAACCCAGGGCCTTGTGCAAGTTACACAAGCACTCTACCACAGAGCTAGAACCTCGGCCCTTTCAAAATTTTATTTTGAGTCAGGTTCTAAGTTGCCCAGGCTGGCCTTGAACACATTCTGCAGCCCAGGCAGTCTGTGATCCTCCTGCCTCAGCCTCCCAAGTAGCTGTGATTATAGACTCAAGACCACCATGACTGGCCCATTTTCCAGGGTGCTTTGGTTTGGATTGGTATGGGTTTGAGAAAGGATCTTACTCTATGGTCTAGGTTGTCCTGGAACTCTAACTGTATAGCACAGGCTGGCCTCAAACCTATGGCAATCCTCCTGCCTCAGCCTACCAAGTGCTGGAATTACATGGTTGAGTCTTCACATTTGTCTGTTTTGTTTTGTTGCTTACTTATTTATTATCGCTGTCATCATCAATGTGTGTGCCGAGGTCAGAGGACAACCTTCCGGAGTCCCTTCTCCCCTTCCTCTATATGGGTCCCAGGGATATAACTCAAGTCTTCAGGCTTGTCAAATGCTCACCTGCTGAGCACTCTCACTAGGCTCAGGTTCTTGGTTTTTGTTGCTGTTTAATCTTTTCTTTTTCCTGGGTTTTCAAGACAGGCTTTCTCTGTGTAACATCCCTGGCTCTCCTGGACTCGCTTTGTAGACCAGGCTGGCCTTGAACTCACAGAGATCCGCCTGCCTCTGCCTCCCACCTGGCTCTCGTTTCACTGCGGAGGGCACAGAATGGATAAAGGAGCCATGGGCAGTGACAGGGCTGGCTCGGGAGACAGGGAAGTGAGGGCCGCAAGCTGAATGCTCACTCACTGGGTCCTCCTGGGCCGTGACTAGAGTGAGGAAGAGAAGGGGCAGGGCAGTGAGGTCAGATGACAGCGCGGGGAGCAGCTGCTGTTGCTGTCGTTCTGTAGGAACAGGTGCTGTGATTGTGTGCACACGACACGCATGCCTAGTGCCTGAGCTCAAAGAGCGCGTCAGATCCCATGGAACTACAGTTACAGATGGTGGTGAGCCACTCTGTGGTGCTGGGATCAAATCCAGGCCCTCTGCAAGAGCAGCCATCGCCCTTAACCACTGAGCCATCGCTCCGGCCCCTTAATTTCATTTTTAAAAACTATGAGATAAGGGGCTCTCTCTCTCTCCCCTCCTTTGGTGTGTGTGTGTGTGTGTGTGTGTGTGTGTGTGTGTGTGTGTGTGTGTTGCTTTGTGGTTTCAGCTTCCAAATAGAAAAACAGCAAGAGCTCCTGACTTGGGGTTCCCAGAGCTGTCAGAATCATTAGCCCTGGCTGGACTTCTTTCGGTGCTGATCACACCTATTTCATCACAGTTTTGTCTGTTAACTTGAGCAGGCCCGAGCTAAGTGTGGTAGCATACACCTGTCATCCCAGCTCTGACGGCAGGAGGCCAGCCTGAGTGACAAGTTCAGACACAGTCTGGGGAGCATGAAACCCTGGTCCAGAGAGACAGAGAGACAGAGAGCACAAAAGGGACAGCTCAGCGGTTAAGAGCTCTGGCTGCTCTTCCAGAGGATCCAGGTTCAATTCCCAGCACCCACATGGCAGCTCACAACTGTCTGTAACCCCAGTTCCAGGGGATCTGACACCCTCACACAGATATACAGGCAGGCAAAACATTAATGCACATGAAATTTTAAAAATAATAAATTAAAAACAAATAAAATAAAACTAAGAACTAGGAATGTGTGTTAAAAGGTTATCAGATCTTTCTAATACCCTGTCCTGACTGCGCTGTGAATACTCAGTTCATGTGACTTCTCTTCCCATTTCAGAATCCTTGAAAAAGATGAAAGCAACATCGATGCCTGGCAAATTCTAGCTGTGCACGAGCTCGTGAGAGAAGGAAACGCGGACAGAGTAGGTCGCCTCAAGACTCAGGCGTTCATCTAAGAACACATCTGCAACCCCAAAAGGCTGAGGCAGGACGATCAGCTATGAGTTCACGTCAAGACCCTGTCCCCCCAAAGAGAGAGAGACAGACAGAGACAGAGAGACAGAAACAGGGGAGAGAGAGACTGACTCAAAAGTTGAGCATTGAACAGATATGATAAAAGAGGAATCCATTGTACCCCAAACTCTAGCCCCAGCTCTGCCTTTTGAGTGACAGGAAATATATCATCCTTTGCTGAGCCCCACAAAGCAGACTCTAAAAGGGTCACAGCAGGAGGAAGGACATTCCGGTTTCTTCCATCTGCAGAGCTCTGAGACAGTAGGTTTCTGAGTTGGGGTAAAATAGAGGAACAGTCCATACCAGGGTAAACCCCTTGAAAGCCCTGGCGTCGTCTCAGGGGAAACAAGAGCACAGACTGTTTCCGCTCCTGGACAAACCTTTGTCAGGCCTGGCATCAGCAGGGTCACCATAAAAGCAGGGTCAGCATCTCAGGCCCTGTCTTCACCCTCACCTCAGGCTCTGGGACCACCCCCCCAAGTGCCCTAGCCTGGCTGCCCAGTTCTAACCCTATCTTACTGAGGAGAGCACCCTCAGCCGGGCCTCTCCCCCTCCCCTTTCTCTCCCTTTCTCTCTTCTTGCTCTCTCTCAATCCAGGGTAGAAATGAGAGAGGGGAGGGGAGAAAGAGATGAGAGGGAGCACACACACAAATGTGTAGAGGTCAGAGGGCAACCTGCAAGGTGCTTAGCCTTCTCCTCTACTGCGTGGGTCCCAGGTAGAGCCCAAGAAGTCAGGCTTTCCCGTTGAGCCTCCTCCCGTGCCCCGGGCTTCTCTTTTGACAAAGCTTTGCACCAGAGAATCCCAGGCTCCCTGGAGTGGTGTGGGCAGGAGGCCCCAGCGCAGAGCTGAAGCTTCAGAGTTCCTGGGTGGCTGGGTGACCTCAGAGCACTTGGCCAGACTTCACGACCCTTCCTCTGCTGTGCCAGGCCTCTGAGTGGCGACATTCACTTAGAGAGCTGTAGCAGGGCCCCTAGAAAGACAGGCGCAGGTGAGAGGACCGGAGGACTCGGGTGTGGTCCACTCGGGGCTGCCTCCAGCAGTGGCTTCTGCCTGGGTGGGTCTGGCAGGCCAGTTCC